ACACGAGTCAAATTTGTATCCAGGTCAGCATTGAATCGGACAAACAAAACAATATATACAGTTTTATAAACATCCGAAAACCTATATAATATTATAACGTTACGAAATATTTCTCTGTACAGAATTTTTCTAAAAATAAAAAAAACGAAAACACTCTCGGTTATACATTTCGCGGGGTTTTTCTTTTCGAGGGAGCTTTCACGCGTGCGCCGAGGCCCCGGTTTGCGACTTGGAAAGCGACAGCCGGCCCGGAACGTGTTCCGCGTACGAAACGGACACCTCTATACATAATATTATATCCAAAAGAGCTTATATCGGAAAGTGAAAGCAATCATATTTTGTTTTACAAGCCAATATGGAAGCGCACACACACACGCACGCACGCACGCACACACGCGTATATACGAGAACAATAATGAAATTAAGAGGACGCGTGATGCCCGCACGTTTACTGTCTCAGTGAAACTGACGCGGGCCGACGTAGCGTAATTAATAATTACGCAACTCAGAATTAAAATTGGGCCTTTAGGTTGAAATTAAAGAATTTAAACGCATCAGGCAACACGTAATTATTTCACGAGGAGAATGTCTGTCCGCGGTACCGCGGTGTTTTTCTCTCGTCTAAAATATAGCCAAACAAACGAGTTAATATTTGTTTTGTATCGGTTTTTTTTTCCTTGTAGATTTTATTTGTTCGACAATATTTTAAAGAGATAAAAACACCCGTGAGCAGCAGAGCTCTAGAGCACTAGAGTCGAATTTCACACCGCCTATTTTTTTATAACAGAAATATCCTTTTCGATATTTTAATATAATACAAGACCATTTACTATACTAAAATGTATACTACTTTTAAAAAATTAATAGTGAAATTTGATCAAAAGAAGTGGTACATTTGTGGGATGAAAGTTGAAACTACTGAGTACAGACATCATGTAGATACACAATTTCATCCCCATACCTTTATTAACGGAGTCTGTAGAGTTTTGCAACGCTAAAAACACACTCTACATCCGGAACGACATAAATTATGTTCATATTGAAATTCAACCCAACGTACATCAGTCCAATTCACCTATTCTGATTCCCAAGTTTGAACTTATTTGATCCAGAAAACGGCATTGGACATGTTCAACAGTAGACGGAGAAATATACAACATATAAATTATACATAATTATTATATCAGTGCAAAAATCTCTATTTTTTGAGGAAAATTCGGCAAAAAAAATTATCGAGGTGCACTCACTCAAAAATAGCCTCTTCTTTGAATTTCGTCACAACAGGGTAACTCAATCATTTCAAATTTAACGTCACAATTTTTTTGCTATAAAGTACGCACGTCGTAATGAAACACTAAAAATGCGGGTATCACGCATATCGTAACGAGCACGATAAATAATATTTTATTGTATAAGTACGTGTCATATATGTTCGTCCTTGTGTTTTAATTTCGTTCCTTTTGTTTTTTTTCACCAGACGTTTCGGTCAGCGTTCGGGTGAAGAGATCTTTCATGTGCCATATGCTGCACAGGTTTTTCTGCGCCTGTTTCCATCAGAGAGGAGACGTCAACGAAATGGACCAAATCACGCAGTTGGTCCGGGACTATCAGACCGCCGAACAGATTTTGGTCAGGGTTTACTTCGATTGATTATTGTAGATACCTCGAAATTGCGCCATTTTTGTTCCCTTCATTATTTAAATTCCCTCCGTGATGTCCGAGTAAATAATAATATTTCGTGCATACAAATTGTTATCTCGTACTGACGTACCTAATCTAATATAAAATTACTAAAAAAAATATTCATAGCTGTTGTCTTTTTAAGCTAATAGGGGGAAGGGGCCAACTTTTTCCATGTGCAACATCACTGGTCTCATTACTCAGTCGTATAGAAATCGATGACTTTATGTTTAATTTTTCACGGACATAACCACGATGAATGAATATTATTGCTGCACTAACAAACCCATTTGAAAATAAATTTCCGAGATCTCTGCTTTAAAAAAATACAACCTCGCTGAAGCGCGGGCACGTTTTAAAATTAATAATATTATTGTCGGTTTCTCGGGTGCTGCAGATCAACAGCGGTCGATACAACAAAAAAGAAGACTTCACCGTAGTCATCCAGCCGTTCATCAAGCTGTTCAATGCGCCGATCGACAAGAAGAGACAGTCCGAAGAAGTCATTGACATATCGTACGTCACCTACGACTGTTTCCATTTTAGCCAAAAGGGACACGCTCTAGGTACGTTTACATTTTATTTATTTTTTTTTTTTTTTGTTTTTCGGTGCTTATCGCGGAAACCCCGTCCAGTATACAACAGTTTTCGAATACGTCCGTGATTTCGGTACTTTGGATCCGTGAGGTTTTTTGTTCGGTAAAAACAAATTTGGAAATTTACAGGCGGTGTAGTGTTTTATCTGAGCCGTTGCCAGAGGCTCGAATCTTTTGCGTTTAATAAATCGTTTTAAACCGCCACTTATAATATATTCATACGCTCATTAGAAACAATAAGTGAAATATTTCATTCCGTTTAATACGATTGAATTAAATTAATTATCAGGTTACATCGAGCAGATCTATTTGTTATCTCGTAATTACGACGTACCGAATCTGGTATACGCTTTCACTGCTCACGAGCACCACTCGGTTTCGGGATGAATTACGGAAAAAAAAAAAAAAAAACTATACAGACAAATTTATCTCGACGAAAAGACGTCGGTTATTCAGCGCCGTTATTTATCGTCATCGTTGTTATTCACGCGTAACGCTGATAGCGATCCGCCGCCCGCCGCCCGAACGTCCGTCCTGTCGATTTCGACGGGTTTCCCGACGATGACGCGTAATCGTTACGCGCGTGCGGCGATCGCGAACGGCGCGGGGAAATACGGAAAACGGACGGGGATCCGTCTCGCCCGCCGATTTCCGCATCGTCCGCAATAACGTCCCGTCGGGACGCGACACAATGCACGCGGCGCCGCGTTGTTATTATTGAAAACAACGTCGGGCGCGCGCCTGCGCGACAACAGCCGCGATAATGCGAAAAATAAAAACACGTTTTTTTTTCTTCTTCAATTCGCAGCCGCCAATTTGCTGTGGAACAACATGATGCAACCGGTCGGCGCCAAGTCCGAGACTTCCGTGGACTCCATCCTGAAACATTTCGTCTGCCCGACCGCCGAACGCCCGTACATTTTCACCGCCAACAATTCGGCTCCGCCGGACCACCGGGACGGCCGCGACAGAATGCGGTCCACGTGACATGGCCGGTAGACGCGCGGCGGGAACGAAACACAACCGAACACATTATAGACTCGCGATACCTATTTTATTTTTTTATTTTTTATTATTATTATTTTTTTTTTTTTTTTTTTATTAAAACGGTACAAATCAAAACTTTATAATGTAAACGCGTTATAATAATTTATTCATACTTACTTTATATTTATGTATGTACACAAACTACGTACTAAACTTTTTCTTCATTTTTTTTTTTTTCCGATCGAGCACTCTTTTGTTATAAAAAGATTTGCGTATTATTTAAAAAAAAAAAAATAAATATATATACACATTAATTGTAGTAGTCAAAATATTAAAATTGTATGTACTTGTTAGTTATAAAATGATACGGATATTTGTAATTTTAACGATATTATTACGGTTACCTGTAAATTATAATATTTTTTTGCGAACGCAAACGGAATGCTCGTATCTTCTCGACGCCTTTGACGTCATCGCGCCTGTATAGTTGCACCGCAAGTCCGCAACTGACGGATAATTCGAATTTTTTTTCGTTTCGAAATTACAGTGATTAGTGATTACCTATAATAAAAATTCATTCTGTATTTCATTTCTTAGAAAAAAAAAAAAGAAAAATCAGTAGTAGTAATGGCAGTGAATAATTCACAGGACGATTATTTTACTGCGGTTCAGTGAATTTCTCGGAGGAACTTAATTGGATAAATTCGATTTCTGTTTTTTTTTTTTCCATTAGTCTGTTTGAGCTTAGTAATTTTTTCAAATTTTTATCCTGTGCACCGCATACCTTAAATTTTAAAGCACGTTTTTCGTGCTTTTATACTCACGCTACTGATCAAGTAAGGTAATAAATTTCATGTCCACTGTAAGCCGATGACTATTACTTTTATACATGGGTTTATGGTAGTGGCGTGACAAACATTGATGTTGTTCAATAATGCACAACGATATATTAAATAAAAATATAGTTTGAAATAAATTGTTCGCATACCAAATTATATTAATTGTTTTTTGTAAAAAAAAGTTTTCAGTAAGAAAAAAAATAATAATAATAATAATAATGATTAATGTTGACAAAAAAAAACGAAATTAAATTTTACTTCAACATCATCTACGTTATTGTTAACCACGGAATCTCGATAAAAAAAAAATAAATAAAACCACACCGAGACCTATGTTGTTGAACTTTAAAACTAGATGTTCACGAAAATATTTTGTTTTTATTTCTATTTTCCAAGTACTTATCATAATAATTGGAAAAACCGGAATAGACGAAAACTGAAAAACGAACAAATTTATGACGCGCGATTTCATTATTTTTCGATTTCTACGACTTATGGTTTCTACCAGAAATATGCTCTAATATAAAAACAATACGAGCCATATATCATGTTTTGTTAAATTTTTTAACTAGTTAATGGATAAGAAAAACGTTTTTTTTTTTTTTTTTTAATTTTCCAAATAGTTTTTATTATAATTAAGTAAACACACAGCTAGAACTGAAAAGTTTACGAAAATAATTTTTTCATTATTCTCTATTTGTGGGTTTTGTTAAATAATTCAGTTAAAAACGTTCGAAGAGATTTGAATAGTTAGATTAACCGAAAATGCTTGAAAATTTGACAAGAGGTCCATTATAAGTCGAATTAAGTGGCCAAATGTGAAATAAATTTAATGTTATATTGTATTTATTTTTATTTTTATAATAGTTTTAAAATTAAATTTTGACAAAAATCCGTAAATATTTCGGCTTTTAAAAATATGTAAAACCGAATTTCGCCCCGAATTATTTCTCGTTAACGGTGGTTTATCGTTGTTTACAGGTATAAATTAAATAACTTAATGTACCCCACCTTTCCAACCATCAAGCTACGACAGGGGCCGCTCCGTCTTCAGTATCAGTCCTTTTTTTATTTTGTCTAGTACTTTCATGTGTTAAAATGTGTAGTCGTTTTTTATAATACACATTTACTCCAAGCAACGCATTAATTAGTTGGTTTATTTCTTCATATATTTTTTATAATACACATTTACTTCAAGCAACGCATTAATTAGTTAGTTTATTTATTCATATATTTATTTACGAGTATTAACCAATTCATAATTTTGTTTTTACTTTATTATTATTTTATTAAAACGTTTTATTGTGTTGCGGTGTAATTTATTTTTGTTTTATGATTTCAACGGGTACTTTACACGGGAAATTTATACACGAATTCGTTACAATCAAAACTGCGCAAAATACAATACGATATTAATTCCTCGTCGTAAATTGCTGCACCCGAGCTCATTACGTTCTAAATTATTTAATTGCAGACTTTACGACGATCATTGCTGCAGTGTGTGTTCAACGATAAAAGTAGATTTTAATACTATTTGCTACATAATAGATTTAACATTTTCCCGGAAAATTGTAAATTCAATTCCCAATTTTGTTTTGTTATGTTCATTCGTTTTTTATTGTTATTGTTGTTTAGGTCAAAGCTCAATAAAAATGTAGGTTGTACAATACAAGTAATGAGTTCTTTCAATTTTCGACGTTTTTGCAATGTTTTGCAATTTCCTCACGTTTTTAAATCGTAGGCGTTTATCGTTCGTCTGGAATTTTCTAGAAGCTTGGAGAGCCCGGCGAGAAATAAGCGCCTATATATGTAAATGGTGGTAATTAAATTCAACGTAGTAGTACAGCGATTCGTGTGAGTTTGCCTGTCGGTACCTTAGTACCGATTTCTTTGATCAGCTTGACCGCACAGTGAACGTATACGCCGTAATGCCTGAAATAGAATCAACTATAAAAAGTAAAATTTCGTATTGGATTGCTCCTTACAACGAAATTAAAAAATTATTTTCATTAGATTAAAAGGATATATATATATTGTCTCGTATGTAACAAATCTGTGTCTACTGAAAAAAAAAATCTATTAGATCATCATTCTAAAACCAATGACTTTTGTATTTTATGCTCATGTTACACGTAATATACTACAAATTATTTCAAAAATTACATGCATATTTTTGTTTTAGTTCAACACATAAATGCGTTACAAAGGAATAAAGAAAAAAAATCAGCTTTTGATTACTTCTCAAAATTCGAATAATAAAAATGTATTTTTTGAAGATCTGTGTAAAAATATTTTTCCCGAAATTAATTCATATTACATGTATAGCGCACGCAGTTAATAGAGTTTCAGAGAAAATTCGAGAATTGTATCCCCACATTAATAAATTGATTAACAATGGTAGTATATTGAGTACTACCAATTTAAAATTTAAATACATATATAATTTATTTCGTTAATTTCAGGGAAAAAAGCTTTCCTAAAAGCACCATCGAAAATAAATAAAAAATATATCGAAAAGAAATGCCGGGTATACCTTTACCACCCGAACCTATTATTACAAGATGGAGAACATGGTTAAATGCTGCACTTTTCTATGCAAATAAATTTGAAGAGTTTAAAAGCGTGATTGAAAGTTTAACAGATGATGCTACAAGTGTCGAATAGCTAAAACAGCTTGTAAAAAATAATGCAGTCAAATGTGGTTTAGCGTTCATAAAATTACACTTATCCGAGTTATCCATGAATCTTAACAATTTGGAAGAATCTGATAGTGAACTACTGAAAAACATGGATATTTTTAGAAAAATTGAAGATATTTGAACAAATAATCCTGATCCAAATGGGGAAAAAAAATGTAAGAAAAATGTATGTATGCAATTGAAAAAAATGAAAGGTATAACACTTTAAAGTTTTACTATGAAGTCATGTCAGTTAAAGCAAATGCTAAATTAGATACAACGCCTACTTTATTAAATTGTTTTAAATATGCACCAATAACTAGTGTAAACGTAGAAAGTAGTTTTTTTCGTACAAACATATTTTAAGTAATAGAAGATTTAATTTTAATGAAAATAGAAATGAAATCTATCTAATTATCAATTTTAATTAAAAAAATTAACATTTATCTAATTTTTTTTTTATATAACTTTTGCATTTTCTTAGTGCAATTTATTATGCAATTTTTAAGTATTTTGTTTTTTTTTGCAATTATATAATTTTAATATGCAATTTTTGTGTGTTTTAAATGCAATTAAATCCGATCTTTACACATTGCACAACAATTACAATCAGCGCTCGTGTTTAGCCCAAAAACACGAATGTTGTTTTTCCAAACAAACGAGAATGCCGATAGCCTGATTACGTAGCACATACGCTAGACGATTCCGTAATAGTATAATAAATTGATTTTGGTATTTTAATCTAAAAATATCCTGTTTTTATACATCGTATTACAAATTTACAACTGTACAGTAATGGCCAATGAGTAATACATCCGTGTCCTGCTGGTCCATCTAGTGTGGCCCGCATACGTGCACGATAGATAAGGAATCTGACAGAAATCGCACGAACTCGCCGCACTAGCTACGACACAGCGGAGTAACTCAGGCTATTAATAAACTTTTAACTGATTTTTTTTTTTTTACATTATTTACAAAAAGGAAAAATACACCAAGATGATAAATACTAAACAAGATTTAGTGTCTCGGTATGCATAGGTAAATTATTTAACGACGGAAAAAATAAAAGACCCGAATTCCCCCTGCTCCCCGAAAATACGCCGCTGTTTCCAACTACAACCCGGGCAGCTTTAGATAATAATGTTCGTTGATCAAATAATGGAAGTGAAGCTTTTAACACGAAATTCAGAACGGAAAACAGATCACCACACCCAAACATATTTTCATTTTTAAGATGTGTCAAAAGCATTCAAACAGATACCTATGCCAATATAAATTCCGTAACCGTATTACTTGTATTATTATTATTTATTTTGACTATTTTGATCATCTTGATTATTTTGATCGCAACTCCGGTGTTTTTTTTCCTGTTTCAATCCCGACCTCAAGTGGGTATCAACCGACTATATGATTATATTTATAATTGAAAAAAAAAAAAACTATCGCTTATATTATTATCGTTCGTTGTAAACATCCTGTATAATAATCAATTATGGAATATTAGTATGCGGCCACGTGTTGACGATAATTATATCGCATATGTATAGGTGCACTGCGGTTAACGTATAATCACAGTTTGTTTATGTTAACCAATAATTCTCTGACTGAAACAATACTATTTTTATCAGTTTATCACTTTGCGCAATCGGGCTAAAATCAATATACGTGCTAATATTATTATGACAACTAGCGCACGATACTGAAATACTGTAACAAATGATACGGGAAATGTTTTTTGTTTTTGTTTTTTTTTTGTTTTTGTTTAACCAACGTATAAGGCTGTTGTAAAATGTAATCATATGGACTGTTCATTTATCGTGTTTGTCTCATGAGGCGGATGGGATCAGTACAGGTCCGTTTACGGGCGGGTTAGGATTTCAGCCATATCTAAATTTGAAAAATGCTACTTCATGAACTCTAGTAAAAATAAATAATCGGGAACTTTTTATTTAAATTAAAAAAAAAAAAAAAATAAGATAACTGTGTTAAACGCTTAACGTATATAACTTATTATTATTAATTTAAGTTCGAACTCCCACTTCCGCACAGCCAATGGCTTGGTAGTGGCCGACTACTGTAGTTTTATTTGCATATTTTAATTTGTAATATTATAGCTGGAAAATAAATAAATATAAGAATTATTATTATTGTTCGTTACCAGCTATCATAAAACTAAACGATTTTTACACTCGGTACACGTCGTCTAAATATCGCATACTGGTTGTTTGATTGATTCAACAATTACATCGTAGCTTAATAACGGTATCTTATTAATCCGCAATAGATCAAATTATCAAGTTATCTATCATTTCTATTAAATCACGTAAATTATAATTTAAAACGATTTATCTAGATAAATTAATCCAGACGATTCAATTATTTACCGTAGGCAGCGGCTCGGATAATTTATTTTTCACTTATCTACATAAGATAAAATATAAAAAAAAAAAAACCTGTCTAAATGAAAAAAATAATTAGAGTAATTAATTAAAATACAACACTGTCCATAACGTATTTAAATTCAGCGTTACGGTGTCGACTGCAGCGCTCGATTAGCGTACGTATATACGTGGCCCGACCCGGACTTTTGCAGAGCGTTTTTTCGTGAATGATTTCATTTTTCGTTTTACTTTTTTTTTTTTTCTAAACTCAATAGTAATTTATAGCCAATGACAAACGGGCACTTACTATACTTAGGTTAAACAAGAAAACAAATTTGTCCTTTCAGAGACTTTGAACAGTATACAATAAAATTTATTTATAAGATTCATTTATTATTTTCTCGGCAAAGCAATACTTTAATAAACAATCATAACAAACTATAAATATTAAAAAACAACGATAAAATATAAATATAACCCAAACACTCAATAACATTAATATTGAGTCGTGTACATTAGTATATACGTTAAACCAAGTATCAATAACTTATCTGTTTATCTGTTTGTTAAGACTTTTAATGATTTCTGCTTCTTTGATTCTTCTTTTGGAACCCCAGCTTCTTTAATAAAATGCCACAGCCTTTTTATTTTGAGTTATTTTTTCTTCCTTATCAAATTCTTCGTAAATTGTACAGAAGTTTAAAACAGCGATAGACAGTTTTTCATCATTGTTATGTAGTAGTTGAGATTTTCTGAACAATGCTGAATATTTCATAAACGCTTTCCATTGGTTTCGTCTTTACTTCTAGCTCTTGATGTAATTTATTGATGCATCGGAAGCATGCATCGTTCTGTCCTTTCTTCCTAGGACTATCCAACAAGTGACGAAGTAGCCACTGTCTACTGTTTGTAAACATATTCGTCAAGGCCGCGATAGAGCGACGGGCGAAAGTCCATTAGCATACAAATGCGTACAATTTTATTCTCGAAAATTCGTTATATTGTGTGGACGTGGCTTAAGTTAATAATGTTCGGCGGATATATAGGCCGGCCCTGTGTGTGCATATTTTAATATTATGTGCATATGCATTCTAACTTACCCGATTGATCGATGTTTCTGCGTGAACTGTATATATTATACGATTAGGTACTACGCATTATTCCGTAACACAAACACAACTGATCAACAATCACAAATATTACGGTACAGCGGTAGCGGATTGGCGTCTGGCCCGGAGAAGTTTTGAGCTAAATTTACAAATAACAATAACGATCACCAGCCCGCCGACATCGTCGAACGACTGTCGACCGATATTGGATTTATTTACGCAGTCCGTACGGTGTGCGGTTATCTTTATCGTCGGCAATCGTCAAAACACTAAACACATTGAGCACAACATTCAACAGGCTATACTTATTGTTAGATCCGAGACATATATCCATGTCAGAATATTATAATACTGTTTCACTGTTTTCCGCGGAATACCGCCATTAATTTAATATGTTTTGTTACATTCATAAGGGCCTCCAAATCAAAAAAAAAAAAAAAATCGAAGCCATTTTGGAAACCCCCCGCGAGTGTGAGACCTGAGGCGGACCGCCCCGTCTGCCCCCTCCCGTTGTTACACCGCTGCTTTTCGTGTATTATTGTATCTCAACGTTTTTCATTACGAAAAATGTCTGTTATAATAATAATAATAATAATAATAATAACGACGATGAAAACAAGACAAACCTGATATTTGTAAATTATAAATTTGCCGTCGTTTTAACTGTTGTTATTTAAATGTTTTTTTTTCTTTTTTTTTTTCGGGTTTTAGCGTTTTTCTGGCCCTGCAATCGATTAGTATCCGCGATAATATTTATTGTTGCAATATTTCGTTTGTCGTTACGTACGAGAGCGATCGATCATATTAATTTTGACGGCGCACGTCGGTTTAACGCCCGGGTGATATTTTCGAAACGAATATTGACCGCGGAATCGAATGTTCTCGAGGAGACCGATTCGCAAAACGCACACACGCGATCCGCGAAAATACCGCCACAGTCTATTGGCTTACGGTCGGCCGCGGACTTCATCCCGCAATATAATCAAGCGGTCGTCACAGCGGCAGTTGCCGTCACCGTATTAAACGGCGTACGCGAATCGGCCATACGGCACATATAATTGCGCTACCGTAATGCATAATGGTTTTTTATTTGTTTCATCGTTTCCGCAGTCGCAGTCTGGGTTGTCTTGAAACCCCCGTTCATGTATGAGAGCGGCACACCGGCCGCGTTCTGTTTAACGTACGCCGAATACCGCGACGGAGACGAATCCCTAAAACTCCATTATTCGGATTAGGATACTGGTTTTCCGTTTGGTTCCACAAAACTGGCTTGTTTTTTTTTCGCCATTCTTCGGCGCTATCGAATCTTGAACTGCTCGGTTCTCCGGCTGCCGCGTCAAATCGTCGTCTCAAATCGCCGATCGGGTGTTTGGCATAAGAGCGAGCGTTTTTCGCTCTTTAGACTCCCTAACGGTTTTAACTTAAGTTAAACACATGCGTATCGGTAGTATCGGGTATTTTATTATTATTTTTTTTTTTTTAATTATTTAACATTAACCAATACTGAGAATTTAATTAATAATTTACACTTAAATTGTTTCTTTAATCGATATATTGATTCTAATTGGCTGTATTATTGTATTATGTCCATAGTTTTAACTATGTGCTTAAAATATTTCAATTATAATTATTTAAAATTATGTTAGTATACGTAACATTTTTTTTTTTTTTTTTTTTTTTTTTTTTTTA